CCCCCCCTTCTTCATGGATAGCGTGCCATTGCCATTCCAGACGGGCAGTAGCGTGTCGGGGTCCCACTCGTCCCGGCTAATGACCTCGGTTAGCGGCTCGGCCCGGAACTCGCCAGATTCGAGCTCGCCTAGCTTCTTCTCAAGGTACTCCTTAGCGGGGGTTTGCTTGTCCTCCAGGTCTCCGAACTTAGCGGTGAAGGCCTGGCGCATGGCCATATAGTCCGTAGCGGGGATGGGCTTTGCCCAGTCCCGGACCTCGCTTGTAGCCTCCGCCTCCGCTTGCCGCTCGGAGCGGGAGGTAGCGGTCCTCCATGCGATGGTGACCCCCGCAGCCTGAGCGCGGCTAGCGAGCGAGGTGGACGGCTCAATTGCGAAGCTGTCCTTTAGCATCTTCTTGAGGTCTGCCTCATCTGTTGCCGAGGCAGCAAATTTAGCGACGGTATCAATACCGTTGGAAAAGAGCTCGGATTGGATAGCATCCGAGACTTTATGTTGCACTAGCAGGAATCGAAGCTCGCTGCTTCCGAGGGCTAGCTTCTTCGCCAGAGCCTCTGCCATGGTAGCAGGCACGACAGGCCCTACGCCACCTTAGGGAAAAACTTCAAGGGAAAAATTCCTGCTAGCACATTGGGGGAAAGCTCCTAGCGTGAGAGTGTGTGAGGGGGTGCCAGTCGATAGCTTTCGCTAAAAGGGGGTCGCTGCAGCAAAGAGCGGCACTAGCAGCCCCACTGACCCCGGCTTCCCCGCCCCAAAACTCTCGACACTCTCTCGCTCTAGCCCTCCCTTCTTTCTGGCTGCCGACATGTGTGTAGCATGACTGTAGCGTGCACACACTGGCAACTGTAGCGAGGGACGGCCTGAACTTTTGCTGCAGCTAGCGGTCGGCAGCAGAGGGCGCTGCAAGAGTAGCCGCATGCAAAGCAAAAGTAGCGGGTGCAAGTAGCGAGGCCGGGGCCTGTAGCGAGGCAGGGGCTGCCCGTCTTAGCGGCCGCCCCAGTCCTCCCCGCGGCTCCACTGCTTGCACCCATCACAACAGTGAGTAGCGTGGTCGTCGCACTTAAACCACATCCGCCTGTTACAGGCTCTTAGCGAACAGACCTCGCAGGTCGTAGCGCACCTGAAAATACAGGCGTTAGCGTCCCAGTGGCCTAGGGAGTAGCGGCAGCGTCCAGGCTGGTACTGCGTATAGCAGCTTGGTAGCAGCATGGCTAGCAGCTCGCTAGCGCGCTCCCCCTGGGGAGTGTTAGCGGGAGGATGGGTGTAGCGACACATAAGTGCCACGTCTTCCCTCCCTAGCGAGTAGAGGTGCTCTCCATGGTGGATAGCGCTCTTCAGTAGCGTGCCATCGGCACCCTTGCCGTAGCGGGGGTTAGGCCCCTTGCCTTTCCCCTTCTCGTGGCGCTGGTCCCAGGAGCCTAGCGGCCACAGATCGCGGTCAATAGCGGACCACGAGAGCTCGAGGTACCAGTAGCCCTCCCCCTTGGGGAGACTGTTAGCGTGGGCCCCCGGGGGGGGCCTGGCTCGTCCCTTTAGCGCCACGCTCACTGGCGTGCCCTTAGCGAAACGGACGTTAGCGGGCATGCCCCCCACCTGCTGGATAGCGCGGTCCTGCTGGAGCTCGCGGCGTAGCAACTCCAGGTAGCGGTCGGGATCCTCGAATAGCGTGCCCCACGTGTAGTCGAACACATTCCGGTGCCGGGTCGACACTGCTGGTGGCGGTAGCGTCTCTGGTAGCGGCCTCCTCTGCGGCCTGCAGGGAGGCCTTGCTAGCGGCCACCGCCTGCTGGTACTCCAGCTCGGCGGCCTGCTCCTCTTTAGCGAGCCGCTCCGCGGCCTCCTTCCGCTTCTCCTGTAGCGCGGCCGCTGCGACCCTCTGGTCGTGCTCAGCCTTTTTCTCTAGCGCCAGCTTAGCTGCTATGGCCTCTAGTAAAACTCACGGGTCCTACGGGGCTTTGCCGGGAAGATTGGAAATCGCCTCAATCGTCTGCAAAAATCGAAACCTGTTTGGTTTTAAGGCCCAGAATATAAGCATGATGATCACAGACGCCGTCTGTCGAGGAAGGTTCGATTCTTGCAATAATTTGCTTCCGAGAGGGGATTCGGAACCTGCCGTACTTGCGGGAATTTGGTTGTCGTGCTACTAGCTTCACCCTGCAGCAGGGTCGGGATTGGTCTGGGTTGCAAAGCGTGAATCCGATACCGCTACCGGCTTGATGCGTTTGATGCTCTGGTTTCTCGCCACCGAGATGCCGGTTTTCGTGTGGTTTCGAGTTTTCGATGGGGGAGACGTGTTGTTGCGAGAAAAATGTTGACGGGCCCAAGCAAATCTTTGCACGCATCAACTGAACCGTGTTCGCAGTGGTATATTCAAGTATTTTTCAAATTGTTTTTTATTTTAACGACTCAACGAACATTGCACATCTTGTCGCGAAATGAAGACAGTACCGTTTGGGTCTGCATGGTTGGCGAAGTACCGTTTCAGTGTGTCGTCCTATCTTATTTTGTTTTTGTGCTGCTTCGATTCGGGATGCTCGCGTTGTCAGCATGCAAAAGCTTGATCTGACCGTTACTTTGAGTCCGAATTAGATCAGATCCTTAAGACAGTTCTCTGCCAATCTCTTGCAGGGCAAGACATTTTCTTTGTGGAGTAAGCCAGGAAGACTCGGGTCGCCTTGCTATACTAATTGCATGGTGCAGCTTCATCGACAGAACACTACTCTTTGCTTTGCGGCTTGCGGGTTTGTGCCTTGCATCGAATCGGGCGCATGCGGCACCCGCGCATGCATACATGTCAAACTGACTCACTGTTAAACAATGTGTGTATCTGTATACCCGTATAGAAACAAACACATACTGGTTCTCTTTCCACAACAGGTTCGTATTGTTTCTTGAAGCTTCCAGCCGCTCAGGCCGCGCAGGCCTCGGTTCGAACCATGTACTTGCTGGTTCCCTCCTCCGAAGTTTCCCTCAGGACCTCCGCATAGCCAGAGCTGAACAGTTGTATCAAGTAAGTCGAGTGATTAGAAGCGTTGTTTTCGAGACCTATTCTCAAACTTTGCATGTCAGGGCTTGGTTGAACCCCTGGCGGACATGAAACCTTGAAGTGAAGCTCTAAGCGCCGTTTCCTTCCATGCGTCGGAGTCTCCAAAGCCTCCGCCAGCCGAAGGCCTGTGCCGGATCAAGGGTTTTATTGAATTGGAGCTTGGGATTTAAGGTTCAAGGTTTAGGGCTGCGGGTTGCGTGAGGGTTCAAGAGGAGAGAGGGACAATCCCGCACGAACAGTAAACGGCCTGAATCCTCATTCCTAAACCTTGAATAACCAGATATTGTGGGTCCTTACCGGCAAGCCCGAAACCTGAAGCCCTGGCCGTAGGCCTATATCCTGAAACGTTTTGTAGAGTGTAGAGGCCCCATCGCGATGCCACTCTGTTTTGACCCGGGGTTCAAGAAGCCCAAAAATCAAGGGTTTGGCAACCCCCCCATTCTCGGCTCGAGAATGGGGGGGTTGCTTGGGATGGGAACCGAGCCCGGAACAGAGACACCCCCGTCAGCAAGCGTCAGTTGGTGTCACATAGCATCTGAAGCGTGTCCATCTTGAAAGACCAGTTCCCGACTTGTACCGAACCTGCAGAGGAAGCTTAATCCGTTGCCCTCCATCGTCACCAGGGTCTGCTGGCTGGTCTTCTGAGCGGCGAAGCCTGAGCCTCATTGCAGCGGCACTTTCAACGTCTACTCGGCTATCTGCTATCTTCAGAAACCGGAGACAAGTGTCGTTTTGTACTTCACACGCTTGTGCAGGCTGTTGGCGAGAGATGTTTGTTGCGCCTTTTGGCGTTGGTAGGCCACCGAGTTTTGGGTCTGCCGGCTGCAGCTACCGACTGAACTCCTGTCAACAATCCGTCCCCATCGACCGTGCAGCAGTTAGGTAAGCCAGGGTCAGCATTGAATGCCTGGGCTTTTTGTTGTTGCGGCCAGGTGTCATCAAGTTCGGGTCCGAGCTCTTCTTCGCTTTGCGGCCTGGTCCCTGATTTTCACGGTTCTTTTTCCGACTTTGCACAGGTGCCCAACCCTACGCCCTGTTTCGGGTTGCTTCTCTTTGCGACGTGCTTGTCACTGGACTGGGTTCTTGTTGCCCTGCATTTCCTTCAGGTGCTTCCTCGAGCAGCCATCGACTGCTTGCGATCGGGAGGTGCCGTGGTTGGTTTGTTTAGCCTTTTGGACGGAAGCCGTAGGTCGCATGTCAATACTGGCCATCAACTGTCTTCCATGCGCAGCTTATGCATAAACGGATAGCCGGCCGATTGGGTTGCAGCGCATTCGTGTGAAGTTCCACTGTGATGGACTCTCGCATCCGCCCGACCCTTCGCACTCGACTCCAAACCCGACCCTTGTGTCAGGTGCTCCTTTGGCTTCTCTGGAGGCCAGGCCCTCGTGTTGAAAGGGCTTGGTTGAGCCGGACGTTGGACCCCCTAAACCCTCAACCCGAAATCCTAATGTCTATACATGTCGGGGTTGCTTTAGGCTGCGGGAGCCTTCTGAAAACGATTCGTGGGTGGTTCGATGCTCTGGTCTGTGGTGGTTTTAAATCGTGATGGCCCTGATCTGGCCCAAACCCAGGCTTTTGGCCCTGAAAGTTGACTTTGGGCCAGATGTGGGCTTTGCTGGTTGTCAGTTGGTGCGCTTAGAGGCTTCGTGGGCATTCCGGTTTGCAGGACGACAAGCGCAAGATTCATTTCCATTTCAGTCTAGCATTCTGGCAGCAGTCGCGGACTCATCGGACGAAGCTTTTGCATTCAGAGCAAACGTAGACTCCCGGCTTCTTTGGATAGCATTGGTGACACGCAGACGTAACCCCTCAACTCTATGACAACATAGATTAAAACCTATGCGCCCCAAACCCCAACCCCGGAAGCCCTCATCAAGTGGAGCACCGTAATTCAAGTGCAACGTGGACCATCGTGTTGATTAGCAGCAAGGACTAAGTGCTGGAGGATCAAAACATGGCCTCTTGGATCATGGTGTTGGTCTGGATATGCAGCTTTTCATATCCGGCATTTCGATTGTATGACAAGTCGTGCAGGCAGCAGCGGCTTTGCACTTTCCCGCCTGAAGAGTGGTTTGATGATCGCTTGCGCCTGGCTGGTTTGAACTTGAAGCCACAGCACCGGAGCAAGCAAAATGTCCGCCCTCTCAAAGCGCGGGCTCTATGTGATATCGAGCCAGGCAAGTTTAACAGCGGCATTTTGACTCCTTGGACTCTGGAAGAAGACTTCCAGCTGCGATACCTCCGCTGCCCAGTCGATGCTTACAGTGTTCGTGTTAAGGCGTGTTGGGAGGTGGAAGGCTCCGGCATTCCAAACACTGCTTGCGAACTTCACTTCAGGCAGAGCTTGAAAGGTGGGGATGGGATCACTTTGGTTTCGCTTCAGCACCCGATGTTCATGCCTCGGCAGTGTGATGTGAACGACTTGAAAGTCCACAGCAGCGGGCATCCCGAGTCTGTTTTCACAGTGGAGGCGGTAGCTGCATCGCGAGGCCCGCAGTGAAGATGCCGGGAATTTACAGGAGTTTTTAGGGGCCAGTCAGGGGTGGTGGGGATTTTGTTGTGAGTCCAAGTTCTTCCCATTCGTCGTCGCAGGCCTGGAGGGTCCCTGCGTGGCCATTGCGATGCCCGACACCTTGGTCGAGTTGATGCTCCGAGGCAGATGGTCCGATATCATCCTGTTGCAAAGATGGCACACATCCGCATGTCCTGCTCAAGTCTTGTTTGCCAACTGGCCGCCTTTACAGTGGAAGCCACAGGATGTGCCACTTCCCGTGGCTAACACTGAGTTGACTGTCGAATCCTTGGATCAGCTCGCGCAGACTGTCATCTCATGGGTGCCGCTCTTGCAGGGTCAAGCCCACCCGCAAGCTGCGGCAATTGAGCAGGACGGCGAAAGGGACGTTGATTTGGATCTTGACGCAGATGTCTTGACAAGTGTCAGTCGTGTCGTAGCAACCTTGAAGACTTGGCGGGACACGTTGAGGGGATCACAGCCGAAGTTTTTTGGACGTGGCCAACGTATGCATGAGGCGACCAAACTGCTGGCATACTTGCGTTGCGCCTGGAGTGCAAGGTCCACACACAACCTGGATCAAGTTCTTGAGAGAGCTGTGTTAGCAGTCATGCCGTGGCCGATGTCGCAGGGAGTCTTGCGGTCTTTGAAGAACAAGCAAGTACACGTTTCCAAGGGCACCCTGCAGCGATATCGCCTTTGCTTGGACATTGCATACCTTTACCAATCGCAGGAGGATTCTTTGCAGCCCAAAGCCCCAATAAATAACATCCTTGGTCTCAGTAGTTAGGTTTCAAGGGTGCCGAGATGGGAGGGGAAGGTCACAGGCCAGTCATCACAGAATCTTGCAGGAGAACCGTGCTGCCAATTCCACTGGGTGTGTTCGGTTCCTTTGGGCTGATTCCTCACCTGATCGCTTTCACGATTGGTTATGGGCTGAGCAACATTACATCAGCAGCCAGGATGCAGTGATGCGTTGCTTCGAGGCATTCCAACAAGTGGCAAGTTGGCTGAAGACTCCAGGAGTGGATGCGTTCCAGATTCCGCAACCATGTGAGAATGCTCTGCAGACGTTGTCGTCCTGTCTGCAGCATCACGTTCACTGTCCAGTGGCTTTGGGCGGTGGCAAAAAAATGACAGACTTGGCTCAGAAGGGGGCTGCGTTGGCCCACACTTTCTCTTTAGAGAACCCAGACTGGTCGCAGCTTCTGAAATACTTGCAGTCCTTTTGCAGCATTACAACAGACCTGGGAACTGAAGCTGGTTTGAGTCACTTGCGAGTGACTTTGCAGGGCTTGTTCCCAGCTTGGCGTGACTTGGACCCCATGGAGTTGGATGGGGAAGACCTTGGCGACGGCCCTGATGCCGACCCCTATCCTCCGCGGCCAGATGTGTTGCTCGACAGATACTTTTTGGAGAACGCTCTTCCTGTGATGGGGCTTCAGCATGTCGTCTTCAACCTATTAAAGGAGGTCCACACCACGCTTCCATTCTGGAAGCCTGTGTTTCAGGACTTGAAGAACGTCGAGGCTCTACTCAACTGGAAGTTTCGACGGAATCGATTTATAGCCACTTGCCTTCGTGGTACACCTTTCGCTAGCCATGAGTGGCGCTTCGAGAACTTCACGCAGGGCCTATATGAAGCACGGTGGCACGAAGTTGCCAAATTTGTGAACAAGCTTCTCCCGCTTCTTGGAACGCTACGTGCCTGTTGGGATGCCGACAAGTTCGAAAGTGCAGACTTTGCTGAGGATAACGGTGCCGGTGCTCTTCATGAAGCTACTGGTGGCAGTGCAGGCGGCTTCAATCCGGCGGCTCTCACTACGGCTCTGCGCTCACCGGAGTTCGCGGTGAGAGTCGTTCTCATCGCTCGCTTGGAGGCTTTGCCGGAGGACCTTGCGGCCTGGGCGGAGCGTTGCCCGTGCCATGGCAAGGGCAGCAGCCAGTACCATCGGGCGAAGCTTTTGCGGTGCCACTTCGGCGTACCTCTTTGTCCGATGGCTGGCAAGAGGGCGCCAGAGCTGGCTGCGGGCAGGATGCGAGAGGTGTTCGACGAGCTGGCGGCGCAAACACTCACAGAACTTCTTGCTGATGCCCCCCTGCCGCTTTCGGCAGAAAGCCAAGGGAGTATCATGCAGGACTTTCAGACCGCCTGCCAGCACGTTCGTCTGCTTCTGACAACTAAGTTGGACCACTGGAGTCGTCTCCCGTGGGTTCTTTGTGGGCTTGCACACAGTGACGAAGGCGTAGCTCGGGATCTTGCGGGAGAAATCCGAACAAGGCTGCAGAATGCCCCGGAAGCAGACCTCCATCATCGACTGACTCGCCGATTCCTGCAAGGCGCCTTGCGTGATGAGCTCTGCAGATTCGCGGACGGCGCTGCTTTTGCAGACTTGAGCCCGGAGTTTCGAGCTGCCGTTGCACCTTTGCGATTCATCCCTATCACAGAAACGACCATAGAGCCCAGATTGTTCAGTCGTTTTAGATTTGGTATCTGGCTTTTAATACCAACAACCCAGAACAGTATGTATGTACTCCCAGTGGGTTACCGAACAGCCTAGGAGTCAAAACATGCCGTGACTTCCAGGATGCACCGAAGGGATACCCACGCTGGACCTGTGGTTGTCAGTATGCACAATCGCATGGTTGTACTGGAGAAACGAATCGTTGCCGAAACGTCGCCAGGTTCCAGCTTCTTCGACAGCATTGCAAAGCAATTGACGTCAGCTCGTCATTTGACGGCAGCCCCATCCAGGCTTGGAGTGCAGCGTCACCCTCTCCTCGTGGCCTGCGAGGACAAACGTGGAAAGGCTGCGGTTTCGGCGTACCTACAGAAACCCTTGACTGCAGTGATCTACCGAACAGATATCACCAGTCAGTACATTGACCTGTCTGAAGCCCGGCAGACACACAACCAGTTCCATCAGGGCAACATGAAAGATATGCAGGCAGTCTTGAAACAGCTCGCTGCTCCTGGAGAGGCAGCACACGGATTCGAGCAACTGAAGCAGATGATGATCTTGGAGCACTTCCGCTTTGTAGGCAAGCCCTTGGCGCATTCTCGACCAACATTGTTTTCCATGCCTGCAAGATCCAGTCTGGCTTTGCAAAGTTTAGCGACCTTCTTTGATCAGCCACAAGCCCAGCAAGGCCGTGTTGCATCTACGGCGTCTACGGGTGCTCTTGAAGCCGACGGAGCTGATGATCCATCGCAGGATGCGTCGCGTCACTTTTTCAGCATCGTAAAGGCGAAGCCCAGCGCAAACAAGCGCATGTTTGTGCATCCCGGTTCAGGGCGGTCGCTGGCGTCGCAACATGTTGCGGTTGCCCTTCATGTCGCAGCGACCTCAACCGTACCAGGCATTCAAGAAAGCTCATGCGTACATACATGTATGTTTTTTACCTACGCAGGCGATATAGGTTGGATGTGAATGTGGTTGATCCTGACCCTGGTAGCCCTAAGCCACATATTCCTAAAGCTTGTGTCATGTTCGCCCTGGCCCAGGTGATATCTTGATTGTTCACGATCAACCCCGATCCAGAGGGCAAAGACATTCAGACAATGTTGCCATCCTAACATCGTTGGGCGGGTCAGCTGCTGAGGTAGAAGATGGTCTGCAGACCTGGTCGGTCAAAAAGGAACCGTCGTACATGCTGCCTGCGGCTTCAGAGCCATTGAATGACATGGTAACCCACATGGTACGTGATGGGTATCTGGCAGAGAAGGGAGAGTTCTACGTCCCAGAAGTTGATCTTCGTGCAGACACAGAAGCTTTGTGCGAACAGGGGCTTTTTTCATGCAACGACATGGGCGGCTTTGCCCTGACCAAAAAGGGCATGCAAATGCTGTCATTGCGATGGTGTGCGACAAGCCCAAGTCCAGCTTGTAGCATCCGTGACGTCGATGTCATGGAGTTGACCACTTACGAGCTGCACAAGAAGTTGGAGCAGACTGGCTTTGTTTGGCATCCTTGGCCACAGTCAAAGAAACGCCGGCAGGCCATTGCACCGTACGTTCCTGGCAATGACAAGGTGTGGTACTCGAACCTAGCTTTGCCGATGAATGCCTACCTGATTGCTTTGTTGCGAGCGGAGGACATCATTTCTGCAGGACATCGCTAGGGGTTCTGTTGTTGAGATTTGCACGTCGTTATCACCCGAAGCGATAAACGGGTCATTGGCTGGTTTAGGGTTTGGGGTTAGAGTGTGGCAGGGCAGATAACATGTTGAAGTTCAGCTTGCCTGAGGAGTTCATCCGGGAATACCGCACGGTCAAAGCCAGCGAGTGTACCAAGCCATTTTGGCTGGCGAGCCTATGTCTTGGGAACAAGGAGTTCGCCGCTCCAGGAGGTTCATCGCAGACATGGAGATGGATGGCGAGATCGTGGAGCCACCCCGGCAGAGGCGTCGCGGCAGTGCAGAAGTCAAACCTGCTCTGGGCCACGTAGTTTCTGAGGCCATCGTTGATCAGCCTGCCCTAGGCTTGGACACTGTGGAGCAGGACCTTGAAGCTCTCATTGATGCCATGAGTGATGCGAGTGGAAATAACGCCGAAGATGAAGCAGCTGAAAGCTCTGCAGCCAGTAACGGCGCAGGCGGTATTGGCGACGTTCTCTTTAGCGACCCTGACTTGGATCATGAGCCGCAGGACGGTGTGGCTGCTATCGGAGAAAGGGCGGCTCGTGAAAACCCGGCTGGAGCAGATGCTGGTGACCCTGACTTGGATGATGAGGCTGAGGGCGGAGCCGTGGCAAACCGTGAAAACCCGGCTGGAGCAGATGCTGACCGGGCAGCTCCCGCTGAACCTGGCGCTGAAGATGGTGGGCCTGATGCTGACGGCGACAGGCCTGACGGCCGTCGCAACGACCAGGACGAATTGCGCGATCTTCGAGAGCTTCTATCATCTCGTACGTGGGGATGCTTCCGAATAACACCCAAACAGCCCGGGACGTCTGGCAACCTCACCTTTGGGGGGTATGAAGGATCCTGCCGATTTCACCGGAAGAGCGACCGAACCGGATGTAAAAAATTTGTCAGCATCAGAGCGCCTGGCGAAGAAGCTCGCGATCTGGCTTTGCGCCAGATTATATATTGGTGCTCCCAAGCCAGAGACCACGACCGACAGCGCAAGCATTTAGCTGCCCCCACGTATCCTCCTCCGACAATGGAGGTGCTCAACTCCTGGCGCATAGATGAAGCCCCGGCGCCGTCCGATGTCAAATCTGATCTGGAGCTTGATAGGCTGGAGCGGGAGCGTGCTCCTGCTGGCAAAGCCAAAGCAGTTGCTAAGGGCAGAGCTCGTGGAGGAAGAGGTGCCAGAGGGCGGGCCAGATCCAAGCCAGCAGCCAGGGCTGGCCCGGAAGCCCATGGTGCATTGGCTCCAGGCCCAGGCCCAGACGAGGCTGCAAGTGATCCAACATCCTCCAGCTCCAGCTCCAGCTCCGACTCCTCTTCTTCATCTTCGTAGTCCGAGAAGCTTCTTGCCTTCTTGCGCGGCTCTGAAGTGCTCCGACTGTCCTTCTTCGCACTCCGAAGTTTCAAAAAGCTTTGATTTGCACCGTGCGAGTGTGAAATGCACAGCTTGCGGAGCTTCCGCACCAGCCGAAGTCCAGCAAGTGTCCCAAACCTCCTGGCACGCAGGCGATCCAGCGATTTCGGTCCAGTTCATGGACGTGAGCCAGAGCCAGGCCCTGGTTCGCCCCGTGTAGCTGCATCTTTGGTTGAGAATAATTGAGAATCAAGCACAGACAGTGTCGGGAGGTGTTGAGAAAATACAGGAAAAGGCTTGTCCATGCTTTTTAATTTCCTAAAGGTCCAAATGAATTACACAGTATTTTTGGAGGGCTGGTAAATATTCCCACCCGCACTCCCCCGCACTCCCCCGCACTCCCCCGCACTCCCCCGCACTCCCCCGCAGTCCCCCGCAGTCCCCCGCAGTCCCCCGCAGTCCCCCGCAGTCCCGCAGTCCCGCAGTCCCCCGCAGTGCCCCGCAGTCCCCCGCAGTCCCCCGCAGTCCCCTTCTTGGCCCAAACAAGCATTTGTATTCGGACCCATTTTTTGGGTCAGCGGATGAATTTTTCGAATTTAGCCGAGGCCCAGAATTTGCTCCAAGCGGTGTTTCGCTAGCAGACATGTTTGATTGTGTTCCGATGTGTGCCAGTTCTTGCCAAATGTGGGTGTATTGCAGCCTGGCTCTCTCTCAAGGGCTCGGAAACAGGAAGAAACGAGCAAACTCATTGGTTTCTTACAATTCCGGCCCGCGATGCAAGAGATGCGGCCCTCTAGTGTGGTTTTGGGTCTACGGGCCCATTTTGAGAGCCGCCTACTAATCTCTACTAGAGACCAAGTGGGGCCCTCTTTAAGGACAGCCAAAATGGGTTTCAACCATGCTTTAGAAGATACTTCGAGGGTCCTGAGCAGAGCAGGCAGCCATGGAGTTTGATGGCGAGATTTTTGAGGCTATGCCGCCGAAGAGGCTGAAGCCTAGCAAGAAGCGACAACACGAGTCGCACGATGGATCAGAGGCGGACATGCCAGATGCATTTGAGTCGGGCCGCAAGCCCGGACCCAGAAGCTTTCAAGGCCTCGCGGAGTGGCCGAAGCAAGTCTACGAGGACATAGAGACTGCAAGCCCTGATTTGCTAGAGGTTTTGCGTTCAAATCTGTGCTCCAACAAGGATGTCTGGCTCACGACGCACTACTCAGGAATGGGCTGTGCCGAGCTTGCATTGCTCATGCTGAAAGCGCAGCTGCCAGAGAGAGATGCTGGCCATGCTGGCAAAGTGATGCTGTATTCAGCCTGCGACAATGACCCGCTAGCGCGAAAGATGCTGATGGAACGCTCCAAGGCCCTTGCACCCCGCCATGTGTTTGGCGACATCACCTCTCGTGTGCCACTCGAAGCTTTGGCAAAGCTTCGGGAAATCGAGGCCTCCGCCTTGGATCGGGCAGCTGAATCTGGAAGTCGCTGGAAGTGCACAGACACGGAGGGCAAGGAAACGTTGAAGCAGCACAAACTCGAACTTGGAGAGAACATGGTGCGGGATATGTGTTGCATACTTTCGCAATGCAAACTCATGCAGAAGGATTTCTGCTTTGCCTGCAACAAGATGTGCCCGTTGCTTCCAGACATGGCTGGCGAAAACGCCAATGCTGTGCATGGGGAAATCGCCGGCACAACTTGTGTGGCGTGGAGCTCGATGAGGTCCGGTGCTTCTACTACGGGCCAGTGGCTTCACAAGTCTACGCTGCCTTGTCTGGTGTGGATGTTTTGGCTACGGCAGTCGAAGCCTACGTGGTATGTGCATGAGTGCACGAGCCGGTTCGATGCCCAGGAACTGTGCGAGTTTCTCGAGGCGCAGTACATGTCATTTTCATTGCGGTTTTCCCCCAAGATGTTTGGTGTGCCAGCAGATCGTCAAAGATGTTATACCGTGGGGTTCAACACACAGACCCACCAGCTGACCCAGCTGGGCAGGGAGATGTTGGAACAAGCTTGCGCTGATTCCTTGGACGAGGGCCAGCAACTTGAAGGACTTAGCTTTCGCAATCTGAGCAAAGGCATGTCGGAATGCTTTCGGGAGATCTTCGAGCGTCAGGTGGCCGTTGGCTGTGAGGTGTTCCTGCAAGCCCCAGCAGAGATGATAGCTGCATTTCACGAGAAGCATGCTCCACCTGGTTCTGCAACATGCACTGGCAGCCGCAAGGACTTGCTCCTTTGCCTTTCCGGTGCAGAGTTTCAGCGGCTTCTGAGCTTCAAGAAGGTGTTTCACGACAACTTCCATGGCACCTTTGACGAGGCCTTGGGAGCATCTGGTGCGGTGAACTTGCAGCAGACCATTGCCTTTCAAGCAAGAGTCACTAACATCGTCCCCGCCTTGCTGACTCAGTCTGTCCTTTGTGTGCTGACAAAGAAGGGGCAGGATGCTGAGCCTGTGCGTGTGGTGCTCCCCATGGAGCACTTTGGAATGCTCGGCTTTCCGATTTTCGGAGCTGGCTGCTTTTCGGAGCTCTTTCCGTGGGAGTTCTCCTGGTTGGAGGCGCATCTCACAAGCGTGGACATCCGCCGCATGACGGGCAACGGCATGCACTTGCAGTCTGTCGGATCAATCCTAGGGCTGCTCTTGTCTCTTTTTGAGCCCAAGTCACCTTTCTCGATGTTGCTGGGCAGGTCAAACCCTTTTCTGCAAAGCTAGCTAAGCTGAGTCACTGCGTGAAAGATTTAAATGATTGATTTGCAGAAGTGTAGGGCTGAAGTGTGAACAGTTTGATTCTTGCGATCCCCAGGGCAGCCTGGCAGAACTATCCAAGTTTTGAGCCTGAGCTGATGTGTTTGCAGCCAACATGTTGTCTTGCGCTGTCCGTGATGTCGCAAAGGGTTGTGGACTGCGCTTGCAGGGGCGGCAGAGACTTTCATTTCAGTGCGGGCAGTGGCGGCTCAGCATCCTGCCAGGCGGTGCACCTGCTGTGGTATCATCGCTACTGCCAGGCCAGTGACCCAGCGGCAGACACGTAACACACGATGGCCACCCTAAATCCTAAACCCTAACATGCTCCCACTCATGCGTGAATGATTTCGCTTTACCGTTTGAGAGTTTATGTAGGTTTTGCTGGGAAGCCAGAAAAAGCGGCTGATTGTAAAAGTTCGTTTCGGGACTATTTCGTTGCGTGACTTGCTTTTAAGCCGCACTCGTTGGGAAGAGCTGTATCTCTTGTATGTGACGTCTGGGCTCCCGATGACACTCTCATGCTGCGACACGATGCTGCAGGATTGTGCATTTGCGTGCTCAGGGTAACGGCTACCCTACCTACTTACCTGTGCCAGGTCATGTGTGTCTGGTCGTCTGCCAGCAGCAGTACCGGGCCTGCGGCTCGGTTCCAGACATGTGTCACGAGATGCTTTCCGGTCTCACTCGGTCGTCGATTTCGTTTATGCTCGTTTCCCGCCGCTGATGTTGCTAGTGCCGCTGAGATCCTCAAAAGTGGTTTGGAGTCTAGAGGACCTAATAATCTATGAACAGTGTCGACTTTTTCCATAGATTAGGGGTGAGCCTCAGATCGCGATGCCACTCAAATACCCAAATACCACAAATCAGGTTTGTTTTAACCCCCCTTCTCGACGAGAATGGGGGGATTAAAAAAGGCCCAAAATCAAGGGTTTGGCAACCCCCCATTTTCGAGCCGAGAATGGGGGTTTGCTGGGGGCCTCCCCAACCTTCTCACGCTGCGCTACGTCACAAGTCTTTCGCACAACTGGACAGACATCTGCAACCAACCAATCGCAAAACAAGTGCCTGAGTCATTGAGACTTCCTGCAGCAACTCAATGTGTGATGTCTTTGCGTGATAGGCACTTTCTTGCCAACATATTTCTTTTGCTCCACGTACTCGGTCGGGTATATGCAACCAGGCGATCGAAAGACCCCAGAGCACCTGCGGACCTGAGTCATTCAGACTTCCCCCACCGACTCAAGCGTTGATGAGTAAACATGGGAAGGTGCCACTCAGAGCGCAGGTGTAGGGGTTTTAGGGTTTGGAGGGTTTTGCAGGGTTTGGTGGATCGAGGGTCTAGGTCTTTGGATTGCCTCTGAATTTCTGCCAAGGCCTGGATTGCAGGAGCCGGGTTGTCGGTGACTCAAGAACATGCTTGCACTTCTGAAGACAATGCAGTGATATGATAGCGAAGGAAATCCTCATGTGTTTCGGTCCCGCTTGATGATGCTACATTCTGCGTGCAAACCCCTTTGGCCTTGTGGCACAAATCTTTCGTGGCACAGGCGTTTTTGTTTCTCCATGTTGTCGGTCTTGTCGGCTGTAGTTGCCGGCCGATGTGAAGATGTTTGAAATCCATAACAGTGCCAGGCTTCAGACGTGCATGTTAGAGGCATGTGCCGTTCGTCTACAAGTCTAGGTGCTGTGTAGGCTGTAGAAGGCATCCAGCATCCGCTACCATGGAGGGTGACGCAGAGTTTGAAGTTCCGCTCACGGAACTCGCAGAGCAAGCTGGGTCCCCTGAGAAGCCTGAAAAGGAATCCGGCAAGAAGAAGCGTGGACGTCCCGCGAAGGACCCAAATGGCGCCTCGCCAGACGCCAAAGTTTCCAAGGGCAAGGACGGCAAGGACGGCAAGGATGGCAAGGATGGCAAGGCAGTCGTTGCAAAGTCGAAAGTCCAATGCATGTGTTGTGGAAAGGTTCTCAACCGGGACGCGATGGCGAATGGCCGGTACTGTGTGGACGGCAAGAAGATCACCGATCGCTTGTACCACGCTGCAAAGGCGCAGAACAAGGTCGAGTGGCTGAGCGACCAGCTGAGTACTCTCGAAGGCTCCGTCCGGATCGTGAAAGCTTTCAAGGAGAGATTTCCGAATTGGAAGACGGAGCGCACAGACAACAAGCGCTTCATCGTCCAGTACCAGGAGATCATCCAGGCCGAGACCGCGGTCCTTTATGATGCGGATGGCATCATGATGGACGAGGACCGCTATGTCATGGAGATGGCAAAGGCCGAAAGGGGCGGGCTCAGCGCAAAGGCCGCCAGTGCCAAGTTCCAGACGTTGTGCGCGGACCCGACGGCTATCAAGGACAGCAAGTACGGAATGCCGAGGGTCAGAGTTTCGCTTGACGATCACGTGAGGTATCAAAACAAATTTTCGCGGCTCAAACAGCTGATCGAAGCGGAGGCCCAACGCAAGAACGTGTCGGAAGAGGAGAAGGGTGTCCTTGCTGGGAGGGTCCTTGCAGACCATGACAGAGGCTTTGTTGGCCAGGACGTGGACATGCTGAGCATGGCCCAGAGGATGGCCAAAGGGGCCGGTAGGGGCAACAGCGCATGGGATGCCAACATCCACCAGATGGGCGAGCTGACCGACCTGTTGCAGAAAGAGCCGGGCGAGGACGCAAAAGCCGAGGATAAGAAGGACAGTGGCGCCGGTGAGAAGGACAAAGACAAAGACAAAGACGATGCATCAGACGACAAGGACGCCGACGACGACCAGGACGAATCCAAGACTGGATCTGCGAAGAAGTGGATGGATATGGACCGTGCTATTTCGAGGGCGACCCGCTCCATGAAGGGCTACATCGCTGACACCAGGGAGAAGTTTCGCAAGGCATGGAAGGGCCTTGTGGAGATCGAGAACGATGCGAGAACCCAGCAGGTGTCTGATAAAGTTCTTCACGAGCTCGATGTTGCACGTGCCCGACGACAAGTCATCGCGCAGATCTTGAGCTTTCCAAAGGATTGCTTGGATGAGGAGTTTGATTTGAAAAGTCAGATTTGTTATCCCTAATAGTCATAGTGTATGCTTGTTGAGGAAGTCAGATGGTTTTATCCCGGTTGAGAAGGTCAGACTGGTTTATGCCTGTTGAGGCAGTCAGATTTTTTTATCCCTGTTGAGAAGGTCAGAGTAGTGTGTGCCTGTTGCGGAAGTCAGATTTTTTTATCCCGGTTGAAAAGGTCATCTAGTGTATGCCTGTTGAGGAAGTCAGACGTTTTTATCCCTGTTGAGAAGGCCAGACTAGTGTATGCTTGTTGAGGAAGTCAGATGTTTTTATCCCTGTTGAGAAGGTCAGACTAGTGTATACTTGATGAGGAAGTCAGACGTTTTTATCCCTGTTGAGCAGGTCAGAGTAGTGTATGCCTGTTGAGGAAGTCAGATTTTTTTATCTGCGTTGAGAAGGTCAGACTAGTGTATGCCTGTTGCGGAAGTCAGATTTTTCTATCCCTGTTGAGAAGGTCAGACTAGTGTATGCCTGTTGGGGAAGTCAGATTTTTGTATCCCGCTAGAGAAGGTCAGACTAGTGTAACGTTTGCTTGTTGGGGAACTTCAAAACCCAACTCCACTCTGCCTGACAGGATCCAGAAGCCCTGATGCTGGTTGAAGCCCAGCAGAATCTGAAGGCATTCATTGAAGAGTGCAAGATTCGCCAGGCGTCTTTGAAAACTTCCGCTACAAGCAAGGCTGCTGAAGCCAACGTGTCGGCCTCGGTGGCATCGGCAGCCGGTGAACGTGTGAAGCTTGGCCAAGGTCCCCCAAGCAAAACTTTTGAGGACTTGCTCACGCTGGCTGAGCTGGACTTCAAGGTGCAGGCCTACTTGACGTGCCTCGACAAGGACGACTTGGAAGCCGTCACAGGCGACTTTAAGCCTGTGAAGAAGGCGTTGCAGGAGATTCTTGTGCTGGGAAATGGATCAGCGAAAGATCTGAAGGGTGCTGTTACGGCTGCAACCAAAAGGATGCAGCAAGAGGTGGATCTCATGTGCAAGCGCCGGAAGGTGACAGCTGCAGATCCCAACAAGCCCGTCCCCTTGTTCGAGTTTGTTCCGTCGTTCAGCGGTGATGGCAAGGAGCGGGCTTGCTTGGCAGTTGCTTGGTCGTAGCGGGGGTCAAGGAAGGTATATAGTTGGGGTCTCCAAATTTCTAGGTTCTGGGGCTTGGGACGTGGGTGAGGAGTGCATCTTGCAGATCCCGGTGTTGAACTCCGAGTGGGACCAGAACAACATCAAGAAGCCCATCCTCCTGAATATCCCGCTGGATGGAGATGCGTGGAAGGATCTTTCTGAGCCATGCTCGTCAGCGGCAAGCAATTTCCGTGTGGAGTTTGAGGCTTCGCCATTCAGGACGAAGGTCGGCCGTGCACAAAAGGCCTTTAGCAAGCTGGGCTCACCGGAGCTCGTGACGAAGATCGAAGATGCCGTGTTCAAGAAGATCATTCCCCGCGAGTCCACCAAGATGGATGTCAAGGTGGACATGAATGGTACTGATCAGGCCGCGGCCTTGCTTGAGATGTGTTGCTTCGGACTGGCCAAGAACCTTGTTTCATGTGTGCCGGAGAAAGGCCATCTTCCGACAATGTCCTTCACGCTGACCGGGTCAATGTCACTGATCCTGTTTCCCATTGCGGAGGTGCTCTCCTTCTTGGCTCAGGATAACGACGGTTCCAAGGTGAAGCTCAATGATGCAGTGCAGCAGCTGGCTCAGCTGAACAGTGAAAAGTTCGCGCAGCTTGTCGTCTACTTGAAGGGCCAGACCCAGGAAATCTTTCGTGGAACAAGCGGAGCAGGTGACGTGGTCTACATACCGCCTGGATGGGTGGCAGTGGTTTCCACAGGGAATCAAGACGTTATTGGTTTGAAAAGCCGGTGCGTGATCCCAGGTTTGACCGACACTATGGCGGCGCTGAGTGCCAAGCTTGTT